TTTGATCGCATTTATAAATGAATTGTGTTTTTGGTGATTATGTGTGATGTGTTTAGTGTTCTTATGACATATTAAAATTTTTATGCTAGTGTTTTGAAAGGTATTAAAAATCATTTGTTTTATAATAGACCAATCATTTTTATGTAACCCTGATGCTATTTTTGGCATTGCAATGTCAGTGTCATGGTGTTTTATCATTTGTATTTTTAAATTTTTTAATGCTAGTTCAATATTTATAAATTCTGATTTTTCAAAATAATGATTTTTTGTAATTAAGTAATAAATGACTCTGCCATTGGCAACCATTGGAATAGCATCACCTATTTGGGGATTTAATTGATATAACTCGGGTGCCATGTTTCCATATTCGTTACAAATACCCAAAGCTATACCTTTATTCATTTTAAGATCTGCTGAAATGCAGTGTGCAATTGAATAATTACTGTCTATTGAAAATAAATTTATTACTTTTTCTGTAAAGTTTGTATTTAATTGGTTTATATAGCTTTTGTTATCAACAAATATGGGTAATGGAACTGAATTAATTGTCATGATTTGTTTGTCAAAGTCAATGACACTATTATTTTTCTCCAAAAAATCGTTACCAAGAATAATGAGACAAGATAAGTTTTTTATAATAAAAACATTAATACTATAATCTATAGAATTTATATTTAAAATGATGTTAGTTGTACCCAAAATTATAAGCGGTGTGTTATCTGGACCTCCTATTGTTATATTACACCCATCAGCTACCATGTTCTGTGGTATTAACGTGTGTGTAATACAACTGACATTTGACCCTGTGTCAATAGTTATGGGTATACTAACATCATTAAACATAGCAAAGAAATGTAAAGCAATAGGCGTAATATTATTATTTGTGATACAATTTATATTATTGTTTGCTGAAGTAAAAGGTGAACTATTTGTTTCAGCAGTGTTTAACCTCGATTCAAGTTTTTTGAATTCTTCATGCAATTAATAGCTGTATGGCCTACAATATTACATAACTGACATTTTATCTTATCCCTATAAAAGCAATTTTCTAAAGCATGATTATCTTTGTTACAAATATTACATCTTAAAGTATTTGAATTATAGTTATGTGTATTAAGATTATTTTGAATGTTTTTATTTTTTTGATAATCATTCCTTTGAGTCCATAGTGGTTTATAATTTTGTTGAAAATTATTACTCGTTTGAGATAATTTTTGATCATTATTTCTACGCGCTGCGTAATTATTGTTAACATTATTGAAATGTGCTTGATTAGTTTGATTATTATTAATATTATTATATGGTATATATTGATTATTATTAGTTGAATAATTATTTCTAAATCTATTATTATTTTGAAATTGGTTATTGTNAATTAATTATTTTTAAATTTTAAATAAAATGAAAAAAAAAAATCGAAGATAGCTATTTTGTAGAGTAGAATTTAAGAAAAATTTTAGTAAAAAAATATCTTATTAATATTCAGTAGTAAATATTCTGTAGCGTTTTGAAGTTTGTGAAAATTTGAATTTTCATGTATTATTTTACGGTATTAAACATTGAAATACGTATTGAGAAAAGGACAGAAGAAAACGCTATCTTTTCATGATTNCGTATTGAGAAAAGGATAGAAGAAAACGCTATCATTTCATGCTTACTATAATTTGGAGGTGTGTAACTTTTTCCATGAAAATGACTTATACTTTTGAATGAGAGTGATAAGTAATAATTACCTTATCTAATTTCTTATCATGGTATTAATGCCTAGTTTGTAATGTATACACATTATCATCATATGTATACACAGTAATCATGAAAAGATAGCGTTTTCTTCTGTCCTTTTCTGAATACGTATTTCAATGTTTAATACCGTAAAATAATACATGAAAATTCAAATTTTCACAAACTTCAAAACGCTACAGAATATTTACTANCATAAACTTTAAAATGCTACAGACTATTTACTATTGAATAAAATAAGTAATATTTTTACTAAAATTTTACTCTACAAAATAGCTATCTTAGATATTTTTTTTAGATTTTATTTAAGTTATTTAAGTTGTCAGTGAGTGCTGGGCCATATTACATATTACATATCTACATGTACATATAACACATCTACTTTTTTACAAACAATACTTATGTCATAACAAATGATTCATAATTAAAAATAGATTATTTTTTTAATTTAATTAATTTATACTTCACTTTAAAAATATAAACGCTGAAATCCCAAAAAATTTCCACAAGAATGACTAACACATAATTTATCACACAAAATACAAAAACATGAAAAAGTTAATATTTTGTTAATTTTATGAAATCATCATCAACTGATGTTTATTAAATAAAAGGTTTAAAATCAGTGTGATCTATTAAAGAATAAAATTTTTTTAAAGTATTATACATTTTATACATCTAAATGTATACATGTTCTGTAAGTAAGGAAACAGGTTTCAATAGTTCTTATGTTTATATTTTATGTACATATTACACATCTACTTTTATACAAACGATATTTATATCATTATGAATGATTCATAATTAAAAGGGTTTTGCAACAATAAAGGGTTAAAGGTAATAAGGGTTAGGAATTATATCATCCTTCAGATAAACTTTTGTAAATATAAATAGCAGTTTCTTGAATATTATGTCATAGTATAAAATAACAATTTTAATTGTAAAGGTAAATTAAATTCATCACAATAAATTATGATAAATAGACAAGATTCATAAGTTCAAACAGAAAACGGTTAGATTTAATAGTTAATAAAAACGATTAGAGAATAAATATGCAATTCATAGGGTAACACTGTATGACCTGTATTAAAGGATATTATTCTTATATCTATCAGTTCATGATTATAAAACCAGGTTATTCTATATCTCTACTTAGATTATTTTTTCACAAAATATAAGTGACTCTCTAACTGGCTGATAATTATCCGCGCAAATTTGAAAACGAAATTGATTTTACAATTTTATCAATTAAAATACTAGTTATTCAATAATAATTAAACTCTTAACTTTTTGTATTTATTTGTACATTCCTTTTATTTGGTTTATTTTTTTATTTCACATACTAAACACCTATATGGAAATCACAAAATATATAAAAAATTCAGTATTAAAAATTAGAATTTTTTATATTTTGTTCACGTGCTGAAACACGAGAAAAAAATATCTTAATTTAACAAATGTACAACAGATTGAGAACTTGATTTATTTACTTTAATAAATTAACTACAACTAATACTCAAAATTGAACTTTTATTTATAAAAGATGGTTGCATAAATGATCAACGAGTGATATGTATAATTATCATATATTTATAATTCTAACATTAATGATTTTTACAAAAAAATAAAACAGAATTAGAATATAATTAAATAAACATTAAATATTTAACACAATAAGTTTATTATAACAATAAAAATCTAAATACATTGATATGTATAGATTAAAACTACAGAATTTGTACTAACAATAGGCTAAATATACAAAGTTAATATAATATGTATATTTAGCCTATTGTTACATTTTCCCACAGTATCATAACATTATCAAACTATGAAAATAATCTTGATTACCTTTCGTATTTTTTAGTAAGAAAGTTAATTTAATTTTATTTGTTTTATTAATTTGCTTACATTTAATCAAATTAAAAAATAAAAAATGAGTGAAAGGAGAGAGAGATTTTCAAGATCAGTCATGGATTCTACCTCCATGACTGGATCTCAACTTATGGCAAATCCTGAAGAATTAATGGTTCAATACCAAAGGGCAAGAAAATATAAAATTATGTGCAAGGATATGAAAAGTGAAATCGAAGAATTGACACAGGCATGTAAATATAAATATCAAATAGTATTCTACTAAAAAATAAATAAAATAAATATTAACATAATTCAAATTATGATATTAGATTATGATAATATATTAAAACAAAAATAAATAAATAAAAGTATAAAAAAATTTAATAATAATAAATAAACAAATATATACACATTATGTATTTATACATATTATATATTTATGTATCGATACATTGAATAAGTTAAATTAGGCCAAAAGTAATACCTTACATTAATTTTTAAAATTATACTTTTATTTATTTATACATACATCTGATTTTGAGAATAATAAAAAATACTGACAAATTTAGAAACTAGCAACTTTAATTAGTAAACAGGATGTAGCGGCAAAAAAGGGGCATTTAGAACAAGATAATATAAGTCTTTTGTCAAAAATTCAAAAAATGGAAGTCACATTGGTAATTATTCGACAAACAAAAGACATATAAACCTTTATATATATATAAACCACGTCTAAACCTTTTAATAGTAAGAAATAAGAGAAGTCACTTTCTAAAAAAATCTAAAAGAAGTTTAAACAACACCTAATTAACAAAAATAATAACTATAAAACACGAAAAAAATGCTGAAGCNAAAATATATATAAAAATACATTTTTTTATTTCTTTGAAATGTTGAGTCATTTTTAGCCCTTTTCAAACAAAAAATTTTAGGATAAGTACATATTGTCTTATAAGCATTAAATATATAGACTGAATTGAATGTTACGCCGAAAATCATCAATAAGAGCTGTACCCACCCATATATTATCACTGTGCTAAAATACTTGTAACTCATTAAGTACTTTTCTTTAAGTTGTTATCCAGTCATTTTTTTGTAAGAAAATTAAAAAAAGCAGTTATTTTAAAATTTCAAAAAATTAAAAAATGAATTTTTACATAATTATTTCTATTGGAGACATGTAATAAAAAATATGCTTTTAATGCGATCCCAACACTAAAAAAAAATAACACTTCTATACTTACTAAAAAAGTAATTAATAATGTCATTATCTGATGGGAGACTGTATTATTCTAGAAAATATTCTGCTTAATAAAAAATCAAGTATTTCTTTAAATTAACACAGCACTCATGCAGAATAAAAAGTAATTCTTTTTGTATTTTACTTGTTTATTAAGAAAAATATGGAAATGGAAAGCAAAAAAAAAAATCTTGCTCTACAGAATACAAATTCTAACCTTATGCAAGAGACGGCTAACAAGGATAATCTAATTAAACAGTTACAAACTAAATTAGTAATTATAATTAATGTCACTAGATATATCAATTTTACAATAATTATACTAATAATGGGATATTTAACACAGAAAGATGGTAAAAATCAAGTGGACGAACTACAGCAACAGTTATCTAACCTTAATGTAGATGGACAGATAAAAATAGAAAAAAATGTCAGTAAATAAATAATTAATAAAAAAACTAAATAATAACTAATTATTAAAATAAACTAAAAATAAATTAAGAACTATTTGCATACTAACAAATTTGTTTATGCTTAACTTGATTGTAAAGTGTACAAGCTGGTGGTGCCCAAAACATTCAGGACTAGAAAAAATTATAAATTTTCTAAATCCAAAAACTGAAGAAGAAAAAAAATGTCTTCGTTTGGCCATGAATAGGAGGAAGTACTGGGTCAAAGACAATGAAGTATGTAGATTTCAATCATGATATTTTTCTTGGCAATTTTGAACAATCTAGATATTTACATCACTATTTAATAAGATATTATGAAAGATATTTAATTTTAGTTAAATCAATAATTTTCTCAGAAACTTGAAAATTATAAATATTTGTAAATTATTCAATTCAAAAAACCTTATTATCACATAATATGGGGTTAAATAACTTTTTTTTACCCCTTTGTCAAAAACTTTTAACTTAGCTAGTTTAAATAGGAAACCCTATGCTTGACTTATTAATATGGTAGAAAAAAAATTACAAAAAATACTATTAGTACAATTTTTTATCCGATCAACTGATTGTATTTAACAATTGTTTGAATTTCAAATAAAAATTTATCATTGATTTGGTTTTATTCATAGACTATTACTCTATGGTTTTATTATACTGTTGATATTGCCACCACCATAACAACAAAAATCTGTTTCAAAAGCACATAAATTACAATAATAAGTTTAGTAATATGATACCAACTTACTAATGATTTTTTATTGTCAAAACAAATTTTTTTCCTATCATATATATTAACAGATTAAAAATAGGGGTTCCCATTTATAAAAATTATAATTTTTTTAATAGTATCTGAGAAAATGAATTTCTTACACAAAATTGATCATCCTATATTAAATTAATAACTAAAACGAAAAATTGCTTACATAATAATTACAATTTCTTAAATTAGATAAAATGTTGTGTCCACGATAGAAAGTCTGGTAGTGACAAACATACAATTCCCCCAAAATGTATAGTGGAATACAAAAAATTGGCTCATATCGATTCCACATTCGAAGAAATGGTCATGGAATTAGGTATGAGTCAAACAAACGTTAATGAACAAAAAACCTATCAAAGAAGACAATATTCATTATCTGAATCTTCAAATGATGAACAATCTGCATTTTAAATAAAATAAATATATACATTATGCATATTAATATTAGAACTGGATTATTTATTAAACTGAAGTCTCATACAAATATAGTCTAAAAAAACTAAAAAACACGCTTTTAAAGCACATCGAACTAAAAAGTTAAAAATAAGCTTAAAACAATAATGAACGAAAAATATTAGTATTATTGTGATAAAAGCGTCGGGCGCTCAATATACGAAAAATATGGCACAAAGCACCCACGCTTTGTATATCTTTGTAGTTTTAAAAACCTAATATTATTTTATTTTCAAAAATTTTAATTCTCAATAGTTCTTCAGAAAAGGAGTGTCATATCCTTCACTGATCTCCTCGTAAACATATACATTTATGAATAATAAATGACGCGTTAGTAAAAAATTGCAAATTATTTTAAAAAAATATTACTCACTAATAGTTGCAGTAATGAAATAAAACAACTCAATAATTCATATGATAAACTTCAGTAAAACGTTTTTTATAAACATCTAATTAATGAAAGTTAAGCTTTATTAATAAAAGTAACCAGATGTGACTTTATGAATAGCTCATATGTATATTATACTTGGAACTTCAACATAAAATTTTGAAGAAAAACGTTCCATAATTTTTATAATATTAATAATAACGTATTATAATTATAATTTTTAACTCGTTTTTATTATTTTCATGTATAGTTTAACCAACATACTTGTTATTGCTGACGATTAGCACACATCACTCGTAATGCAAAGGACTGTTAATAAATTCATGTAAAAGTTTAGCACGATAACATTTAGAAGGTTAATTTTAGGTTATAATTGTATACGGTAGTATTTTTCAATTTACACGTGTAAAAACTTCCCTTTTTCCTTTTCCCGCTAAACAGGTAAAACCAAACCTTTTAATAATAAAGAAAAAGATAAGGACTGGATATTTTTATGAATACTGGAAACAATGAATATTCAGTGTTTCTATACTTATTTACCAACTTAAATTTTAAAAAACTTTTCAATCATTTTTCAATAAAAATAAATTATTTATAATTAACTCTTCCTAGAAATGTTGGAGTTAACTTATCCTATTAAAACCTCCTATCGGCTATAAAAACTCAGTTAAGTTTCATCGCTATCAACGTGTACATTATTTTTATTGTAGTACGTTGGTATGTTAGTTAATTAACTATTTTAATAACTATATTTACTACTTACACAATATCAAGAATCAATTTATTAATAAAAGAGTACTAATTTCAAAATAAGGAGTAAATCAGTTATCTAATTAGTTGTTATTTCATGTTAGATATTCATGTTAAATATTCTTAGAATTTCACTATATTATCAATCCATATTAAATTTTATTTTGATAAATTAAACCATAAAAATTCAAATCACAGTTATTGCTTTTAAAATGATACAATTTTCAATTTTTTAATGCTGTACAAAATACAAAATAAACTTAATACTTAATCAGTCAATAATACATATAATATTATTTACATTTCAATATTATTTTGTATTAAAATAAAAAAATAACAAGGTAAAATTAAAAATTACAATTTTAAAGAGAATTTAATCAACTATACAGAAATATTTACAAAATTAGTTATTAATATAGTAAAAAATTTAATTTTAAATGGCTTATAATACATTGTGTTACTAATATTTTTACATTAAAATTTAACCTTAAAATTTGCTAGATCTTTCCTACAATGATTACATTACATAAATATTTTTGGATCCAATCGTAATCTTAATTTAATTGAATAATCCATTACTTAATTAATCCATAAAGTTATTATATTAGTATAGAGAAATGTTTTGCAATATTTTAATTATAAAGTTATAATTACTAATTTTTATTATATCTTGTCTATATTCTGATAAATACATTATTATTAAAACAAAAAATTTATAATTAATACTATACTTACATTTAAAATGAATAAATTTGTGTACATAGAAATAATTAACAACTATCAAATACTAAATTTTTTGTGGGCCTCAAAAAAAATGACACTTTTGCTCCTTTGTCTATTAAGGTAAGAGTTGGGTCAGTATAATACACAAAAGTATAAGTATTATATGTACATATTACACATCTACTTTTTTACAAACAATACTTATATCATGACAAATAATTCATAATTAAAAATAGATCACTTTTTTAATTTATATTAAAATATTGTATTTATTTAATTAATTTTTACTTCACTTTAAAAATATAAAATATAATCACTGAAATCCCAAAAAATTTCCAAAAGAATGACTAACACATAATTTATCACACAAAACATAAAAAGTTAATATTTTGTTAATTTTATGAAATCATAAACTGATGTTTATTAAATAAAAAGGTTTAAAATCAGTGTGATCTATTAAAGAATAACATTTTTTTTAAGAATTATACATTTTATACGTCTGCATGTATACATGTTCTGTAATTAAGGAAACAGGTATCTATAGTTCTTATGTTCATAACAATTGACCTGTTTCCTTACTGAACACCAGTACGTGTGTATTATGCATAGTAAAAAATAAAACCAAATGTACATTTTATTACCCAACCCTCATTAAGGCTCAAAATTGCATGAATTTGTATGTTATACAAAATGCTGGTTCTTTTTGAAACCAGTACTTCAATTGAATCAGTCATTTCAAAAACTACATTTGTCACTGATTTTTCAGTAATGACTTTGTCAAATTTGATAATTATACATTATTATGTATACTTATGTATTTTGTGTAAAAATTTCATTTGTCAGTCTGATATTTACTACAAAAGTCAATGACTTCATTCAAAAATGTTTCTGTATTGTAACATTTTGTCAAGTTAAGTTTTTGTTATTAAAAAGAAATATTTTTTTTTTTTTAATGTTTTATTAAAAGTGCAATGGTTTATTAAGCAAAAACGACAAAATCTTTATTTTGAAAAAAGTTGTTCTAAGTATTGTTACCTATAGCCAAGTTAAGATAAGTTAAATTTTTAGGAAAAAAAATATATATTATTTTATTTTATTTCTTGATTTAAATTTCATATTATAAATTTCTATTCACTGCAAATCAAAAATGTTTTATTTCAATTTAATAATTTGGTCAAAGTTAGACTATTTAAAACTATGAATTATGAATACCAGAAACCTTAAAAATAAATTAGTAAATAGGTGCAAGTGCAAAACAAGTTGGATTTCTAGAGTAATTAAGTTATTTTTGATACATGGAAATTAAAATTTTATTACTTATATCATTTTTGAAATGACCGTTTCAATTATGTTTTATCATTATTTTGTAGAAAACTTTTTTTCTTTTGCTCAACTTAGAATTTTTTTCACTTTGGAATTGTGAAACACCTGTATGAGAGTTAAACTTTATACTTTATTCATGACAGAATATGCGTAATACATGAATTCATGTAGAATATGCGTAATGCCATAGAAAATTAAGTATTAAGATAACCCTCCTACAGACATTTCAACAATTCCTAATGAAAAAAAACCATTTTCACAAAAAAAAAACTTTGTTTTCTCATAAAATGCATTGTAATCATGCTTACACTAGTATAGGTCTTGGGGTTAGGTCTACTATGGAGTTTTGGTTCTGAATAACTATTATTTCTCCCTTAATAAAAAAATAATATATTCATCATGTAATAATTTTTATTGGAAAAAATTTATCCCACCTAAACCACTTTCTTTTAAGCACAAGAAAAACTGTAAAACCTAGCACTGACACAATAAAAAGAGAATAGGTAAAAATTTATTTATTTTAATTTATATTTATAATTTTTTTTAAATTATATGTTAGCATCCTTTAATATTAAATAACTGCCAATTATAACAATTAAATATTGTGTATGAACCTTATATCATCCTATGCCCTTTTCTTGGCACAGCACTGATGCCAATTTTAAAATACAGTAGAACCTGGATAAGTTAAAGCTCAAGGGAAATTATTTTTTTTAACTTAATAAGGTTTTTGAACTATTAAAAGAAAAAAAATAACTTAAAATTGTTAAAGAATTTGAGTTTGTATTCAACACTTATTTATAAAAATATAACAGATTGATTCCAATAGGCAATACTAAAATTTATGATGTTTTAATGAATTTATGTATTTATTTTAATAATTGACAGCTTTTAAATTTAAACTAATTGTTTTAACTAGTCTAACCTACCACAGTAAAATCTTTTAGCTATAAAACTACAAATAATTTATTTGTGTTATCTATAATATTTATTTCTTTTGTGTAAAATTTCTTTTTTCAAGGAACGGAATATGCTTAACTTTATCAAAATTCTACTGTAGTAAACATAATATCTATAAAAATAATCTTTTTACTATAGTTATTTTTTTAAATACTTGAATGTAACATATAAAATAACAATTACTTATATCTTAAATTTTAAGATATTTTCTTACTACTCCCTCTAATATTACATTATAAAAAGAGTACTATAATAACTACATGAATTACTTTATTACATTGCCCTATTTTAATTTAAAAATTTCTATTAGATTTATTTATTTTTTGTAATCTAATATTGTTCAAAGAGAATTCAAATGAGAAATTTAGCTATAATACTGTCGTTGTAGTATAAAAATTCATTCTAATGTTGATCTGATATGAAATTAAAGCTTACTAATGTAGTATGCTAAGACAAGTGTATACAAAACCAATAGACATCAAAATTGTACAAAAACTATAACTGAAATCAAATTTATAACAAAATAAATTAACTTACATGAAATAAAATTTGTTATACTAAAAAAGGAAAATTTATTTCATGAAACTCACTTTAGTTTGTTTGAGAACTATATGTTTATTCGATAGATGACTTTATTATGATAGACAGTAATAAAAAATCATGATTACAATCTTTTTTGTTTCTTAATATGATTAGGATATTAATCTTATGACGTCAAAGTATCTTAGTTTACTTACAAGTGCATACTTAAAAATACAGATGATAACTTACAATAGCAGGTATCAAAACTAAAAACTGAAATCAAATTAAGGAATAGATTATTAATTATGAAAAAATAACTAAAAACTGAATTTATATTAAAACAATTTTTTTAACAAATTTATTTACTGTTGGCAACTTTCTAAACAAAATTCAAAATAATTTTAATTTCTGCAAATTTTTATTTATTTTAAGGACACTTGTTGCTACTTAGTGAAATAAATTAAGTGTTCTAATCCATGCATGCTTAATTAAATAATAATAGCTATGAGCACCATATTAAAATGGTTGCTTAATATTTATTTATTATCTACAGTGAAACATAACACAATCATAAGTTCTCCTTATTAAATTATGTATTAATATTCTGTAGCTGATCCATACAATTATTCAATTTGAAAACTCTAATTTAACTGAGATAAAAATTATTTTAATTAATCAATGAAAAGTTTAAAATCAGTTTTAAAATTACATTATTTTAAATTTAGCAATGTAAAAATAGTATTTTAACATACTTTCATAATAAAGGTTATTGAAGTTTATTACATCCAAAATGTTTTAAAATGTCATATTATTAATATCATTTCATTTATAATATTCACAATTATTCAAATTTCAATATGGATATAATGTTAAATTTTTGTCTATTTGCTAATCAATTTAGAAAAATGTATTCAAAATAGTTAAATTTACATAATTACTTACAAAATTGTTAAATATAGTATACCAATACTGTTCTGTATATTATACTCATTTTAGAATAGTTGGAAAATAAATTAAAAATCTATGGCCAAAAAAAGATCATCAATATGTTTTTGGAACCTGGAGTTTTTCTAAATCTGGCCTTAATTATACTACACATCTAATATTACATCATTATATCTACTTACTTTTTAAGTAAAATGTCACTACAGCAAAACTTATTTTTCTCAAAAGAGCAAAAAGTTAAGTTTTTCGGTAATTTTGTCTTTCAACAGCAGCAAATCCAAAACTGTAAATATCTTCAAAAATTAATCTCTTTAATTTTTCGGTAAATTTCTTTTTTTATGCTGCTATTTCATAAAATAAAATTATTAAGACAGATCTATAAAGCTTACTTCATTGTCTATTGTACTCGCCTCTTATTCGATATTCTTTTAATTTAATTATTTCAATAAAATTTCAAATATAATTTATTATAATAATACACCGAAAATCCGATTTGTATCTATTATTGTTATCACTCATTTAGTAAGTCGTAAATTTTTATGGTTAATTTACATGTCATAACTTGATCAATAAAATTTGGTTTATGCAACAGCAAATAAAAATAATGACTTCTGTATTTAATACAGTAATATAACAATAGAAACTTGGCCTAAAATCACTCAACTTTAACAAGCTGTAACGGACGAACGGTTAGCATATCGGAAAAAAAAAATTGTACGAAAAAAGCTGCTTGTAATTTTTTTTGCTATCATATTCTAAAATTAAAAAAAAAACCCAGCACAGGGGGGTCGTGGTACAATGGTGACGTAGCATAGTTGGATCAAGTATAATGATATCTGACAGTGATTAAAAACACTATCAAAAAAAACAGTTTGATACAAATCTTTATATAGTTTTAATTTTAAAAAATTGGTGTATTATTCCAAAAGCTACATGATCTGTTATTTTATTATTAATATCCTGAATGAAAAAGGGATTATTAAAAAATATTATTTCTCATAAAAAAATTGTGTTGATCCAAACATTTTTCAAAAAATTATAACATTATAAAGTTAAAAACCCAGCACAGGGGGATCGCGGCACAGTTGTGACGTGTTATAGTTGGATCAAGTATAATGATATCTGACAGTGATTAAAATCACTATAAAAAAAAAACGCTTCGATACAAATCTTTAGATAGTGTTTAATTTAAAAAAATTGGTGTCTTATTCCAAAAGCTACATGATCTGATAGTTTCTTATTAATATCCTGATTAAGATAAAGTATGTCGAATAAAAAAAGGATTATAAAAAATATTATTTCTCATAAAAAAATTGTGTTGATCCATACACTTTTCAATAAGTTATAGCATTTAAAAATAAGTTAAAAATATAAAAAATAAAATCGAGAATTTTCACACAAAAATAGCATTTGGTAGCAATTTTCACTGTGAAGATAAAATAAAGTCCGAAATTTTTTTTTTTCATAATAAAGTAAATTACATTAGCTTTAATTTAAAATATATATAAAAGTGTCAGACCTTCCGGAACATTTTCAAAAGTTAAGTTGAAAAAGTTAATTTTTTTTGAAAAAGTTGTCATTTTAAATCCCCCTCCTATGGGCATATAAAGGGTCAGATTTGTAAAAAGAATACTAAATGAAAGATAATTATACTATGCATCTATACATGTATAAAAAAAAATTATATTGATTTGGTTATTTTTAAAAAAGTTATGGCAATTTTAAGTAAAAAAAATTGAAAAAATTTCGTAAATTAGCAATTTTTAAATTTGTAATTTTTTTAGAAGTTTCCCCTATTTACGGGGAACAAGGGAAATTTTTTCAATTTTTGAGGGTAATGTCTTAGACTATTTGTGATCTTTTCACGTATCATTGAAAGAAATCGGTTCGGTGAGAGCTGAGAAAAACTGGTAACAGACACAAAAAAAAAAAACACATCATAGTAAAACCAATAGCTTCTCAGCTTCCCATCGAAGCTAATAAGGGTTCTCATTTAAAAAAATTATAAATAAGGGTTTTTATCCCTGAAGGGACGAAAAAAATAATGATTTGACTAAGTATTATTAGTAGAGTTTTTTGAACTTAATATTTTTTCTCTTTAAAAAAAATTAAAATTCTCAATAGTTTCTGAAAAAATTAGTGTCTTACCAGATTTTGATCCCCTGTTATATTGTCTAAATCAATAGACTCCATATAATTTTTGTAAAAAGACATTTTAACATTAGAAGTGCGCTGAACCTTTATTACACAAAACTTATTTTAAGATCAAAATAGCTTGGGAGATTTTTGGTAATATCAATGTAATAAAAGATAATGACCTGAATCAAGTAGGAAAAATTTTCACCAACAATAGTAGTAATAATAGAATTAACCATAGTACACCTACCTTTTTTTAACATTCATTACTTAAGTACATTTTTTTACAATAAATTTATTAAAAATGCATTCTATGTACAGCTATGTTGAATATGCTGACATGCTAGAAATGTATTATTTAGCTAAAAAAAGTACTTTAAATGCTTCTCGTCTGTATTCTATAAACTTTCCAGAAAGGAAACAACCAAGTCGAAATACTTTTTTAAATATAGATAAATCTTTACGTGAGACAGGTATGAATATTTTATTAAATAATAAAACACAATATTCAAAAATTAATACCTATATTTTTTATAAAAAATATTACGAATAAAAATAATTTTAAAAGTTCCATCAAAGCTTAAAAAAAAAATTCTTTATGTAGGTAGTTTTCCAACAAGAAAAATAACTCGCAAAAAAAAAGCAACAAATGATGTAAATAGTATAGACGTTTTAGCAGCATTTAATAGCAATCCTCATGCTTCAGCTAGACTTGTAGCTAAGGAAACCAGTATAGGTAGAACTTCAATCTTACGAATATTAAATAAAAATTCATATCATCCATACAAAGTACATTGCGTACAAGGTTTGCAACCTTCTGATTTTGATAGAAGACTTGATTTTATATCAAAAATGTCACTTCATTTTGATGATGACTGTAACATTTTTTCTAATATATTATGGACTGATGAAAGTCGTTTTGATAATAATGGAATGTTAAATCGGCACAATAGTCATTATTGGAACGATAAAAATCCATTTTGGACACTAGAGACACATTTTCAAAAGAGGTGGTCAGTCAATGTGTGGTGTGGATTGTTAAATAAAAGATTAATTGAGCCATACTTTTATAACGGTTCCTTAACAAGTGAACGCTACTTGAAATTTTTAACTGATGTTTTGCCTTTGTTATTGGAGGATGTACCACTTGATATTAGACAAAAAATGTGGATACAACAAGATGGTGCACCTCCACACAATGCTAATATTGTTAAAAAATATTTGGACAAATATTATAACAATAGATGGATAGGCACTAATGGTCCTCTTCAATGGCCACCAAGATCACCTGATTTGACACCACTTGATTATTTTTTATGGGGTTTTTTAAAAGATAAAGTATATACTCAACCATCAACGTCCCTTGAAAATTTAAAAGAAAGAATTCTGTCGGCGTGTAGTGAAATTACTCCAGAAATGATACAGTCTGTCACGGTTGGTATGATAAATAGGCTAGAGAAATGCATTTTAAATAATGGTGCACATTTTGAAAACTTTTTGTAAAAAAACTAATATGTTTTTCAACTTAAATGTTATTTTTATCAAATTTAATTTAAAATTATGTTAATTAATGATCTTAAATTTTAAATAAATTTAATTTAACTGAAAACAATGATTTTAGATTGATTATCTATAATATCGTATAGAACGAATTATATGATTACACAGTTATTTACACTTGATGTATCAAAATATTATTATCAATAACTCTCTCTTTGATAACAATATTCATGATATCTATAAGAAGAGGGTTTCAGACGTTTATAATAAATTTGAAAAATAATCATTTGTCTACACAGATAATATTTTATTATCTATATCTGTATTTGTTTGTTATAAAATCAATTTATATATTTTGTGGCAGTAACTGCATTTTGTTATTACTAATCACTATCATTCAAAAGCGTAAATAATTTTCATGGAAAAAGTTACACACCTCCAAATTATAGTAATCATGAAATGATAGTGTTTTCTTCTGTCCTTTTCTCGATACGTATATCAATGTTTAATACCGTAAAATAATACATAAAAATTCAAATTTTCACAAACTTCAAAACGCTACAGAATATTTACTACTGAATATTAATAAGATATTTTTTTACTAAAATTTTTCTTAAATTCTACTCTACAAAATAGCTATCTTCGATTTTTTTTTTTCATTTTATTTAAAATTTAAAAATAATTAATTTTTTTAATAAAATGTAAAAAAATTAATTATTGAGATATAGCTATAGACCTAACGTATAACTATTATTTAAAAAAAAAATCAACTAAAAATATTAACTGGATCAAAAGTTATTTAAGTTGTCAGTGAGTGGTGGGCCACC